AATCCACTAAAGTGGATTCTAAGCAGGTTGCTAGGACGTAGGGATAGGAATAAGGGTGGGAGGGAAAGGCGGAGCACAGGGCAGGGAATAGACACAGGATAATTTGGGTATTGGGGAAGGGGACAATATACAAGTAGGGAGAGGTGAATGGAAGAACAAGGCAGACAGGAGAACAATTAGGCAGGTATGAATGAGCTAAATGGGACAGAGGTAAAAACAGATGTAGGCACAGCCTTGGAACAACAGGGCTCTGGGATCCAGAGACTGGGACAGGGTTGGAATTGGGAAAAGGGAGGAATAATGTTGAGATACTTGGCTGACTTTTGAACCTTGGGTTTCCAAGCATTATAATATAAAACAGTCACTGGAGGGAGAGGAAAAGGAATAGCCAGAAATATCACCATAGAAAGCTTGTAAGTCCATCTTCTGCCTATAACCAATTGGAATACATAAAATGGGGCTACAATGTATCTAGTGAAGGAGACCTCATGAGGAGCCTCTGCATTACATAAGACTTATAGAAGAATGCCTGAACCACATCCAGACCATTATAGAAGGGAAACTTTCCTCTTGAAAGGACAAGCAGACCAGCCTGGAGCAGCCAGAAAACCAGAAGACACTTCTTGAAAGAGGGACCTACAGGAAAAATACAAAACAACAAGAGCAGTCCGACTGTAACCACAAGAACAAGCAAGCTGTCTGCCCAGGAGACACCAAGGCAAGTGGTTGGGTCCTCTCAGTGCAAATCCTCCTCCAAGACTAAGACGCAAGGGGAAAATGCATTCTGATTGGCCACCACTCACGTCACCCATAAAGAGAAGTAACCGAAGAACATCAAAGAAGCAGAGAGCTAAACCATGCATCGTTCAGCAGACTATGGTGAGCCTGGGGGGAGACCTGGTTGGCCAGCAGTGAGACAAGACCTGGGGACTCATGGATTCAGAGTCAGTGACACATCCACAGAGGACTAGAGTGGAGACCGAAGTGACCAACTGATAAGAAGAGGGCAGACAGATGCAGGAACACCCACACCTGCAGATGATACCCACTTGCCATGGTTCCAATGATGGGATGAACAGAGCTCAACCCGAAGAAGACAGAAGAGGAAAAAAAAGCGTCATCTGATACAGTTTGATAAACTGGACATCCACCTATAAATGCAGCAGTCCAAAAGAGGAAATAAATCCCTCCTCCAAGAACTATTCCCACCCACTCCACACAAAGAGTAGATAGGGATGGTCATCTTGAACTTGACTAACCAAAATGGGAGAAGGGATACAAAGGCAAGAAGTGACTGGCTTACAAGCTTTCAAGAGGGAACCTAGATCCACAGGGCAGGAGAATGGTAGAGTGTCCAGTGAGTAGTATCCAACGTGTCTAGGAAGGGCAGATGAAAAGAAATGCAGATGGGTCTCTTGTGATGCAATGGTGAATAATTGTTATCAGGACTGATTGTGAGGACTGGAAATGTAAAGGTGGATATTTTATAGCAAGGAGGGGAGTGATTAACCTTTCAGTCTAGGAGCGGAGGGCCCTGGGACCATCAATGGAGAAGAGCGGAGAGCGGGACTCCACCCAGAGGAGCAGCGAGGCCTGAGACTGAGACAGAGAGGATGACGTGAAGAGAGAGGATGACGTGAAGAGATGGAGTGGCTGGGGACTAGGGATCCGGAGAGGGAGAGGGGCTGTGTGCTGAGGACCGTGAGGGCAGGGCGGGCAGGATTGCAGGGTGTACCCTTTGGTTGGGTGATGATACATGGACGGGATGGTAACTATGTCAATGAGACGATATACGATGGAATGAATGTAAAACTAATGTTCCCCCATGTAGACTATCACACAATACACAATAAAACATTAAAAAAAAAAAAGGTATGTCTTTGAGTCAAACATTCGAAGACAAACTTACCATTTCCTCGTGCCTCCTTCAATTCTTTTTTCCTTTATGCATATTTTTTCTTTACTCATAGATATTTTTTAACTCTTTGGGTTATAATACTATAAACATTTTTAACATTTGTTTAACCATAATGTATTTAATTATTTTTTTATTTGGGAGGGATCTATAGGTATTTCTCACAACATAAATAACACTTGGTTCATAAAGCTTTTTATAATATTTTCTTGAAATAAAATAACAGCAGTTGTTAAGTTGACCACAACTCAAAGCAACCCCACGAGTGCTATCAGTTCAAGAGCTGATTTTTCTCACCCTTTAGCAGAACTGGGCTCTATAAGGTTTTCAATAGCTGATTTTTACCCCAGAAATAGATCGCCAGGCTTTTCTTCTGAGGCACTGTTGGGTTGAATCTGAACTTCCAACCTTCCAGTTAGCAGTTGAGGATATTAACCTTTGTATCATCCAGGAACTCCTTCCTTGGAATGGAGTCCTAGAAATAAAATCCCTAGGTCTAAAGTGTATTAAATATTCCAGTGATGTTTTCTAACACATGTAGAGTGTTGCTTCAACATTCTACATGCCAGAAAACAATACTGAGAGCACCTCTCCCTCTTTTTAAAAGAAAAGCATTCCTGTCTACTGCTGACCCCATGCTTTCTTCACCCTCGCTCTCCTTAAAGCCAGGCTGAGTGAGTGGTCTGCAGCTCTGCACCTTCTTGTCTGGGCAGGATTAAGAGCCAAATCTGTCATGCCCCTGCCTGTCTCCCGCCTTCTCTCTCACATGTGATGACTATTCTGTACTCTGGCTTCCAGCTCAGGCCCAGCCCTACCTCTGGGCTGTATAAAGCTTCCATCTATGGAATGTCACAGCCCTGTAACAATTCCAGTGGACAAAGGGGCTGCTCTTGCCACTCAGGGAGAGGAGGGGTTATGGGGAGGGAAAAGGCGAGTTTGAACAGCTGGCAAGGACTGTAGCCCAGACACTGGGGCCACATCTCTGATTGTGCACCTAGGACTTCGCTGCTTGCCTCAGGGACAGGCTCCAAACTCCTCTTGGGGTTTGGCTGGAAATGAGCTTTAAATGTTTTTGTCAAACCTCTTTGGTGGGCTTTTGGGGCCAGACTTGTTGACTCTCCTTGTTTCTCTCCACCTTGGAATCCCTAATCTGACCACTCAGGCCCGGCCTATCCAAAAGAGAACTCACATGGCAGAGCCAATTTGTTTTCCCTTTAGCCTTCCCCTGATCATGTGGAGGTGGTAGCAAGGGATCATGTTAGGGAGAGGCCTTGCATTGTGTGTCCCCACAAAAGACACATTGAAGTTCTAACACCTGATACCTTTGCAGATGGAATCAAGCTAAGATAATGTTGTATTTGAGTAGGTTGGGCCCTAATTTAATTACAGGTGTTCTTATAAGAAGAGAAATTTGGACAGAGACTCAGAGGGAATATGGTCATGTGAAGACAGAGTCAGAGACTGAAGTTATGTTGCTACAAGTCAAGAAACAACAAAGACTATCACCAGAAACTAGAAGAGGATTCTTTAGCAGGAGTATGACCATTTTGACACTTTGATGCCCATAATTACGAACAAATAAATTTCTCTTGTTTTAAGCCACCTAGTTTATAGCATTTTATTATATCAGTCCTAGGAAACTAATATATCCACAAAGATCCATCTCTTCACAAGCACCCTACCAGGCCTCAGATATCCCAACTATTAGTGGTGCAAAGTCCCTTGTCCACCTTACACTCTCCCTCTTGCCTTGCAAGCTGCAAAGTGGGAGAACTCAGAGGTTCCCCAGGGGCTGTCTCTCTGAGATGCAGCTGCCTCCACTTATCATAAGGAACTAGGCCTATCACCACAGCCATGTGCAGCAAGTATGGAGTTTGGTACCTGCTGGTTGTATCTGACCCTTGATCTGGGCAGCAGCCTCCTTACCACTCCTATTTACAGTTCTGACCAAACAGTAAATCTGCCCTCCTATGCCAAATAACACATAACATAATGTGGGTACATTACTGGTAGAACCTGAAAGTGACTTGGGATTCAGGGCAGATGGGGCTGATGTGGCTGGTAGGAAGGAGTGAGAGCCCTTTCCTCATTCATCACCCCTCCCAAGCTGTAAACTCAGGTCTCTATTTCATAAACCACTGCCGCCAACCCCCTCACCCCCGTCCCATTTAGACAGCTGTGTGCTATCATTAGCATAATGTTGAGTGCTAATATCAATGTTGACATTTAAAAAAAATTCAAAATATCCAGGTTTTCCTCTCAGCTGTTCTTTTCTTCCTGTTCTACTTTGACCCCATGTGGTCCGTGTTTCATGTGGACTCTTGCTCACTGTAGGAAAGACCATGTGGGCAGATGGGAAGGGCTGACTGAGGATCAGAACACAGGGTTCCCATTACTAGCTTCGGGCAAGGTGTTTCGTTTGTTTTCTGATTCTCAGTTTCCTCAGCTGCAACAGAGTGATAACACTATCCACGGTGGAGGCAGTGTGGCAGATGGGAAAAGGTTTGGAGTCAAACGGTGTAAAATTCAATCCTGGCTCTGCTACCCTGAGCAAGTAATGCAACCTTTCTGAACTTTGTTTTTCCCCCTGGGTGGAAGGGGCTAAGTGGGAAAAGGGACCTTGTAGGATTGGGGATGGGGGCTGTGGTGGGGGATGGTGAGCCGAGATCATATCCATTGATTCGCGCAGGGTAAGCGCTGAAGCAGCAGCCTAGACCGCCCTGCTCCCTCATAAGTCTACTGTAAGGGGAAATTACCTAGAAATGCTCTGTAAACTACAGAACTCACGTGTTATTTTAACAACTTATATTTAAACACTGTCCGATGCAAAATATTTAAGTTGTTTTAATGAAGACGTCCCTTTCGGGATGCCCCTTCCCCGTTATACTGCACTAACCAGGCAGGGTTCTCAATCTTGCTAGCTGCCATGGCCCTGAGTTTCTAGCTAAAGCTTACCTGGGCCTCCGCGCCAGCTTCCAACAGCCGTGCACCCCACTCTGCCCAGAAACTCCAGCGGGAGCGCGGGCGCAGGAAGGGAGACCCCAGCCCTCCCCCCAACCAAAGCCCTGGAGGGGCGCGCACTCACCCTTTTGACTAGGAAGCCCTCCTTAAGCACGCCGCCCTCGTCGTCCTCCATGCCGCCGGGGGACTGCCGTGCTCGCAGGTGAGCGTCCCCGGTGACCGTGTCCGCGCTCCCGCCTCCGCGCGCTCTCCCGCGCCCGCCCGAGCCTGCTGCGCCCAGGAAGCCGCTTCGACCCGGCCTGGGCGACGCCTCCTTGGCCCAGGTCCAGAGCCCGCGGCCGCAGGGCCTCCCTGGCAGGAAGTTGGAACGAAGTTGGAACTACCCGGGGTTTCCTGGCGTGATTCTCCCCTCAAAGGTGCGTCCAGGCCCATCGTTAGCCCTCCCTGGAGAGTCCACTGTTCTTGAAGTTCCACTCTGGTATCGCCTCCTTGGGAACCTTTCCGCCTTGGCGCTCTCTGACTGGGCAGGGTGCCCCCACCGTACCCTGAGCTCCTTACCACTTGGTCTCTTTGCCCACCTGCTCTCTTCCTCCACCTCCTGCCTTCAGAAATCTATGGGGCCATCGCCAGATATCGGTCTAACACCTCGTTGTTGTTAAGTGCTGTCGAGTCGGTTCCGAACCATAGGGACCCTGTATAGGGTTTCCGAGGAGCTACTGGTGAGCTTGAACCGCCAACCTTGCGGTTCAAACCGACCTTGCTCATTAACCCGCAGTGCCACACCAGGACTCCTAGCACCTGGTTGTTGTTGTTAAGTGCCGTTGTCGAGTCGATTCCGACCCATAGCGACCCTTACGGAATTGAACTGAGCTGAAAGGACTTCAAGGACTTGGGTCATCCCTGAGGTTAATGGGAAGGGAGGTAGGGAGGAGTGGATGGGTGGATCCAGCTGGGAACAGTATTCTGGGATCTGGTGGGAGTGGAGAAAAGTTACCACACGTTTACAGAAGAGGGCATAGTCTGTAGGGGTCTTCTGCTCCCTAAACACTCCTCCCCCCAATCCCCCCACCCTTCCACACAAAAGGAGTCCTGGTGTGGCGCACTGGACCACAAGGTCAGACTTGCAAACTCGCCAGCTGCTCCTTGGAAACCCTATGTAGGGTCACTGTGATTCGGAACCTACTTGACACTTAACAATAACAATAAGCTTCCGTAATTAGGGACAAAATTTAAGGATGTGCAAAGAAATTTAGTAATCTAGGTAAATAATATTTCATGAAATAGTATTAAAACTAAAAGTTGATGCTAAAAATCCACAATGAAAAAATATCCAAGTTTTAAATAAAGTCGAGATCAGCAACCATGTCCTGCCTGCCTAGGTGGAGCCCGAGACAAAGGGAAAAATCAGGGATGCTGACCCTGTCCAGTGGTCCCAGGAGCACAGTCACCCTTATTCATTATTTGCACTCTGATGTGAAGGGACCTGTTAGAACTCTCCAGCAGGAAGTGGAAAGGCCCCCAGATGGCTGGAAGCAAAGAGAAGACCTAGAGTGGAGAAAGTGTCCTGGGCTGGGGAGCCAGCTGTGCCTTTCCAACCAGCCAAGCCAGTGCCCCAGTCACGAAACCTCACCGGCACTGGAGCTCTGTGCTGCCCAGGTAAAGAACACCCTAGCTTCTGCACACACTGGACTTCCACTCTGTTTGGGAAACTCAATACTTCTGTTGTTGTCAGTTGCCATCAAGTCAGTTCCCACACATATTCTAGGCACAACAGAACAGTACACTGCCCGGTCCTGCATCATCCTCACAATTATTGCTGTTAGAGCTCATTATTAGAGTCACTGTGTCAAATCCATCTCCTCTTTTTTCCTCAGCCTCTCTCCTTTACCAAACATGATGTCCTTCCCCAGAGCGGGCCTGGTCCCTCCTGATAACATGTCCAAAGTATGTGAGATAAAGTTCTTGCTTATAAGCATTCTGGCTGTACTTCTTCCAAGAAAGACTTGTTTATTCTCCTGGCAGTCCATGGTATGTATATTCAGCATTCTTCATTAACACCATATATTTTTTTAAATTATTGTTAAAAAATCATAGAAACCTTAGTAGACAAAAATATCAAAATGTGAAACTATTGATTCTCAATATATCCTCCATCTAGGACAAACATTTTTAATTATTGTGAATTGAATGAAGATTTATAGAGAAGAGCATCAGTTTTACACTTAGCAATTCATACATATCTTGTTTCAGCTCATTGATTGCAAGTCTCTCAATGTAACATCACTTATTTCTTTCCTCCCTGTGTTTCCTGGTACCATTTCTCCTTTCCTAACCCTCCTGAGCTTTGTCCTTGGGTAAATGCTGCCCTATTGATCTCAAATGGTTGATTATTCTAAGGTATGAATATCTCAGTGTTTTTCCCCTTATGTCGTTGTTGTGGTTAGGTGCCATAGAGTCTAAACGAAACACTGCCTGATCCTGAGCCAACCTCACAATTCTTGCCATGCTTGAACACAGAGATGCTGCTACTTTGTATATTGTTTGGCTAAAAATTGATCCATAGGGGTGAGTTCAGATCTAGACTTGATGTGTGACTAAGAACTATAGTCTCAGGGGCTCCACCAGTCTCTGTCTGACAAGTAAGTGTGGTCTTTTTTATGATTTTTTTAAAAAATAAAGTTTTTATTGTGAATTATCTCATAGTTTATGTGGGAAAACATTAGCTTTACATTCATCCTATCTTGTATCATTTCATTACCATGGTTACAATCCCCTCCATGCATCATCAGACAACCAAAGGGTATACCCCTCAAGCCTCCCACCACCCCCACCGGTCATCAGCACATAGCCCCTCTCCCTCTCTGGGTCTAGAGTCCCCAGCCACTCAGTCTCT